AAAAGGTGGAGGTAAACGTGGTCGTTTAGCATATTCCATGAGAATTTCATATCGATTATATAACCAAATTTGCTGAGATTGACTTTGTACTCTTGCTCCAGTTAAACTAATTTAATAAAAGAAAAAAAAACAATTCAGTTATCTGACTTGAATTGATTTTATCTAAATTAATATACCCAAACATCGCTGTTAAAAGTGATGTAAGAAAACGTTTAGCTAAAAAGAAATATTGTATAAGCAAAAACCATGCTATCCATGATGTTTGATTGCAATTTCGTGATGATATTCCATATCGTTTATATGCATAAGTATTGTCATCTTGAACAAAAAAAGAAAAATGTATTTTGTTATTAAAACAAAACAAAATATTATTGTTACATTTAAATGAAAGACCATGAGATAATCTTAGACAAGCATCTTCTCTTTCTGTTTTAGTTGTTGCATTTATTGAACATGGTGCACGTTGATGTTTTAAATCACCCATATCACTACCGAATAATGCCATTAAACCACGAAATACAAAAGCTGTTGAAAATAACTCTAAATTAAGTGGATGATGTGGATAAAGTACAGCTGTTATTGCAGCACCAAATGATATCATAAATATCATAAATAATTGTAAAAATGTAAAAAAATCATCCATAATCTATAATGATATTCTCAGAACAAAACAGAAAAAATAAAAATGAATAGTTAAATTACCATATATCGAAGTCGAATCATCAACGGACCAAGTATTGGATTTATCGGTAAAAAAATAAATAATAATCGACAATAATAATAAATTAATCCAATACTTAAGATTGCTTTTGATGCTACAACTTGACAAGCTATTTAAAAAAAAAAAAAGAAAAAAGAAAAAAAAATCAATTATAGTTTTTATCTCTTCTGTTACTTCCAAAATGCCATAAACCAATTATTCTAAAACCAAGAAAAAGTGCCAGAAATATAATTTGTACGATAGTTTCTAATAGAGGTCGTCGTATAGATAAACTACTTCGAGACTAAAATTTCAGAATATTAAATCTTTTCAGGTTTCTTTTTATTGTAGAAAGATTCTTACATAACATTTTTCATAAGTAACATGTATATTTTCGAGAGCAATTGATGCTGCCCAAAACCAAACAAAGAAATCAAGTAGTAAATTTCCACATGATGGCCACATAACAGCCAATGTAAAAAAACATAAAAATACAATATAACAAGCAAAATTTGTATAAAATTTTGTTATTGGTGCTGACCATAAGACATTAATTTTTTCAAAAAAATTCAGTTGTTTTTTATAAGATGTAGTTTTTGATTTTTTTTTAGCAGTACCATTAAAATGACGTCCTACTAGTTGAGAAATACCATCCTAAATAAATTTATATATATGTCATATTGAAATTATATTGATTGATAAAATTCTAACTTCTTCATATTACTGTGTCGAACTTAATTTAGATCAATTAAATACTCAATCGTTATCAATTATCTCATCCTATTATAATCAGAATACATATATTTACAGTTTATTTTTCTGAAATACGATTTAAAAACAGTGCTAGAGCGCAAATCAGAGACGTGCACCCCGCGTAAAAACCACGACGAAGGCGGCGCAAAAGGTCATGTTAGCCGTTAAAGTAGTGGCGGAGGCGACCACCATCCTACAACCTTTTCGCTGAACGGTCGCGCCTAACGTTGACTGAAAAAAAAAACGTTTTTTTCCCCAAATAGTCCTCATATTTATTACTCTATGGTATTTCTTACAAATAACATTTCATTTCTGAATACTTATGTAAGAAGAACAATATAAAGTTGAAACTACCGCGTAATAATATCTAATTAGGAACGATATAACTGCGCAAACAGTTGCGGTCAAAACTGATCGTACACTTCACACAAAAATTGACATATATTACACAATAAAAAATCATTCATTTTGTGATCTCGAGTTGAAAAAAGCATTCTGTACAAGTGTTTTAACGAAGCTTTTCTAGCTTTTACAATAACAACACCTTTGTGTTATGTTTTTCTTTTCCAAATTGTAAGATGAATTAATTTAATATTGCTGGAGAAGATCTACGAGCATATAATCAATCAAAACAATGTTATTTTTGATGCTTCTGAAAAGACTTTTTTTATATTCGTAAAAAATGATTGATAAAAGTTCTCCATGAATGATTAACTGTACACATATATATAGTACAGAAGAAATAAAAATTTGGATTGGTTCTTCGGGAAATTTAGAATTGCCGCAGATTTTAATTTCTTCCATAGTATATATATACTCTGATTATAGGCTGTGAAACGTTTTCAGTCTAGGATACGCTTAATAATCTCTATAAGATTTCCAACGGGAACTTAAGAATGGAGAGTAGAAAGGCAGTTTTTTCGGCAATTCGAAAGTAATAAAGTAATGCTTCTGGTTTACAATCCATATTTTGATCTGTATACAGCTGGTATGATTCGAAAAATATTTGCAACTTGTACCGAAAGACTTGCGCTTTGATTTTGCTCACTTTGTTGAAAATATTTCTTAGACTTATGAACTTAGCTATTGAAGGCGACGAAAGCTTTCGGCAGCTTTTCGTTTATGTAATTTGAGTTTTCATCATAATTCTTCTGCACTTGTTACAAACGAGTACTACTTCAACTCACTGACCATGTAGGGTTCTATATTTAGTCATACAAAATAGAATTTTTTCTGAAAAATGTAATTCTAAGTCTGCTTCACTTGAATGTAGTCGAAAATTTCGACGTCTGTATTAGAATTTTGATGTAATGTATAACTCTATGGATCTAACTGAACGAGAAACAAATGTCTGAGTCTGACCTACGATATGTGGACCTGGAATAGGATTCAGCCTGTCCAAGTCTCATGTCTCCGTCGCTTATGACTCTGGTTTTACTATTATGAAATAGTTCACAATTATTGATATATTCGGTAGTTCATATAATTTAATTTTGACACACTAATGTGAAGAAGTAAGTTATAAGTTCGTCTATCAATACAATATCGGTACAATATATAGAACAGACAGTAAATGAAATATGCAGTATTAGATACAAATTATCTGTAAATAAATCAAAATATCAATATCAAACTTGGTGTTTGATGTCTATTATATTTACTCGGTAGACTAATCATTTGTGAGTGTGGGGCCTGGATACTGCCCTATCAGAAAGGTTGACGCAAATATCCACACCAGAATGATTATTTACATCAAGGGGGAAAAAGCGGATCCTGGATCCTCGGATCCTGGTGGATCCTGTGGATCCTGGTGGATCCTATTGGATCCTACTGGATCCTGGTGGATCCTGTGGATCCTGTGGATCCTGTGGATCCTGGTGGATCCTGGTGGATCCTGATGGATCCTAATGGATCATAGTGGATCC